CGCGGACGGCGCTGGCCCCGGGCAACGATCGGAACTCGGACACGGTGAGTGGGGCCCGGCCCCTGGGGGAGCCCTGGCTGGGTCCAGCCACCGACCCGGTCGCCGGGTCCTGCCCCTCGCCCCGCGAGCCCCTGCCCTCGTTTCCCGGGCCCGACCCGGCTCGCCAGCCCCTGGCCCCCTCCGACTTCCAGGCCTCTCTGTCCTCTCCCCCTCGGCCCAGCCTGACCCCTGGGGCGCCCCTCTCTCGGGACCCCTCTCCGGTCCCTCCGGAGACCGCTTCCGCTGGGTCTCTTCCCTCCAGGAAGCCCCCTCCCCTGCCTCCCACGAGCCCCTCCCTTCCCGGCTGTCCAGCCCTTTCCCCTCCTGGCTCCGCGGCCGACCACTCGCCCCTTCCTGGATTTGCAGGGCCCCTGACCCCCTAGGCCCAGCCCTGGCCCTCTCCCAGCAAGGCCGCCCAGCCCTGCCTCTGCCCCGGCCCTCGCCGTCCGGCACCGCCGCCCAGGCCCCCTCCTCTGGCCCCAGCCCCCCGGCCCTCCGGGCTCCACCGCCCTGTGGGCAGCTTCTCTCGAGCCGGGTGCCACCTGCCCAGGCCCAGGGCCCTTTCTGGCTTCAAGGTCTCTCTACTCCCAGGCCTGGTGCTCCTCTGCCAAGCAGCCCTGTCCTTGGATTCCCCACGTCCCCTGCCCCCTCCCCCCAGGTGCCACCTGGACCCTCTCTGGTCTCTTCCTCTCTCAGGAAGCCTTGGCCTCCCAACTCCAGGCCCCCAGCCCTGGCTCGGATTTCTAGGCCCTGGACCAGTCTGACTCCAGGCCTCATCCTCCCTGTATCTGCTCCTCAGCTCCAGGCAAGCCCCCTCCCCAAGCCCCCAACTCCTGACCTCCGCCTCAGCCGGGTCTAGGCCCTTCCCCTGTGGCCACCATCCCTGCCCCGAGTTCCAGACCCTTCCCTTCTCCTGCCCCAGGGCCTCCCCGTTCCTTGCCAGGGGTCTGTCTCCCAAGGAAGCCCCTCCTCAGCTCTGACTCAAAGCTCAAAGGACTAGCATCCCGTAGACTGGCTTCCAGAAGGCTCCTGGACACCAAGCCTCTGGTCCTGCCCTCCTGGCTCGAAGCCCTCTTCTCTTGGGGTCACTGCTGCAAGCACTCTCCCCAGATTCCTAGGCCTCTCGGTGGCCCACAGGGCTCAGCCCCCGTTGCTCCAGGTGCTCTTACCCAGGGAGCCCCTTCCCCCCACTTCCAGGCCCCCAGGCCTCTGTCCAGTTTCAAGGGCTGCTCCTAGAAGCTCCCCCTCTCCATTTCTGGGAGTTTCCCCGAGGCTTGGGCCCTGGCCCAGGGGTTCCTGGCCTCAGACCTCCACGCCCCTGTAGCTCCAGCCCTTTCCCCCTCCCCAGGCCCCTCTGTCACTACACCATGGCCCACACAGTCCCAGTGAGCCCCTTCCTGGTTCCTAAAGACCAGCCACCAAACAGCCCAGACTGCTTTTCTACTAGGGTCATTGTACCTGCCCCCCAGGCCTTCACTGCCACCCCAGGGCCCCTCCAGAGGTCCCACCCTTCTTTATCCTGCAGAGCCCTTCCTCCAGAGATGCCCCACCCCATTGTCGTGGTGGGCAGTTTGGAGTCTTGGCCAAGGCCACCTGCCTCCCTTCCCATTCACTACAGTGAGGTGCCAGGGAGGAACCTGGCCCCTGGTTCTGGGCCCTAGTGTGGCTCTGCATGCTGGTTTGCACTGTGTCCTCAGAAAACTGGTTCTTCCTCTTTGAGCCTCAGTTTCTTGACCTGGAAAATGGGGGGTGACCATTGGGTCCCTCAGAGGATTATCAAGGCAATGTGGGTGAAGCGCTCCTCTGATGTTGGCCGCTGTGCGACTGTGGAGATGAGTCAGAAGGCCAAGTACTCGTACCCAGGGCTGTCATTAGTCGTGCGGGAGCTTGCAGAGCCTGCTCCAGCCTCAGTTTCCCCGACTCTCAGGGGGTGACGCTGGCACCTCCCTGCCGGGAGATTTTCAGGAGGATGCTCCTTGTCATTTTTGCTGCTTAAAGTATTCAGATAAACTCGGGTTCCGGTCAGGTGTCTCTTCCTCCCTGGCGTGTGACCTCCAAACCTCAGTTTCTGTGTCTGTACAATGGGGTGATAGCAGGACGTCCTCTTGTGTTGGTGGTTGCGATCTGTGCCTGGTGGGGACTTAGGATGGCTCGTTCTCTCCTGTCCTGCCACTCCAGACAGTGAGGCCTGCCTGTCCCCTGTCTGGAAGCCACCTGTCTCCCTCTGGGATCTGAGGTGGCAGCCCCCTCTTCTACCTGGGGTAACAGCGATGGGTCATGCTCCCCCCCAAGGTCTAAGGCCCCCCAGGGGTCAGCCTCCCAGGTTCCCGAGCAACTGGCCTGGCGTCAGTGGGAGGGACGGGGCAGTTTCAGCTCCTGCTCCCAACTCCTGGGGGCTTTGTCACCACTGTCCCAGCTGCTCCTCTCAGGGTCCCTCAGCAGTGCTGCCTCCGTGGGTGCCATCCCACCTTCACTTGTGCCCCCTGACAGGCCCCCTGCGGCCTCCTAGCCCTCATCTCAGTGCCCTGTCACCAGGGCTTCCCCTCCCCTGGGAGGAGGCCTGGGTGGAGCAGCGCTGGGGTCAGCGCTCTGGGTTTGGATCCCAGCTGCTCCCTCACCTGCCCTGTGACCTTGGGCAGGTGCTCTCCCCACTGAGCCGCGGGGACTCTGGGGTCCCTGCCTGGAGAATGCATGTCTTATTGGCCCCCGCTGGAGGCCGGGGGAGGGCCCACCTGCCAGACATGTGCCTGGAGCGGCAGCCCGGAGGTGGCTCCTGCCCAGGCTTGGGGACCTTGTCTTGTTGCCCCCTGTGAATGAGCTGTGTGACCTTGCCCAGCCCCTTCCCTCTCCAGGGCTCAGCTCCTCTGGCGCGGGGAGGTGCAGGTGCCCCCACCAGACTTGGGTGTCAGGCGCCGGGAGCTGCTCGCTGCCCGAGGCCGGGCCGCTCTGTGCCTCGCTGTAGGGGCAGGCGGCGGGAGAGTGTGGGCAGGAGCTGGCTGGGCTCGGATCCGGGCCTTGGCCTCAGTTTCCTCCTGTAGAATGGGGACACTGCTGTGCGGGCGTCATGCCACGTTAATGAAATGTTGGTCGTCACTGCGAGGTGGCCTGGCAGGGAGTCCCTGTGAGGAGCAGACAGGGCCCCCAGCCCATCGGCTACCTGGCCTGTCCTCCTCAGCGTCCTCTGTCCTCTGATTCCTACCTCTGGCCCTGAGAGGGCACGGGGACGGCAAGGACTGAGCAGAGCCATTTTGGCTGAGCCTCTGACACGCTGGGCCCAGCCCTGAAAGGGAGCCATGGTCCCTGGGGCTCACAATCCAGGACAGGGCAACTCGGAGCAGGCAGGTGACCTGTGGGGGAGGGAGCCCGGGAGGGACAGGATGGCAGGAACAGAATGTTGGGGACAGAGGAGTGGGGGCGTGGGAGATGGCGGGGCAGGGTGGTGAGGGCAGCCCGAGGATGAAACAGTGTTTCCCGTGGCGGGCGGGTCTCGGTGGCTGGGCCAGGCTGTCGGGGCGAAAGGAAGGCTTGGAGTCTGGAGTAGAACTGGGGCGAGGATGATGGAACTCAGCAGTCCCCTCTGCGTGCTCAGGGACATGTTCCAGGACTTCCAGGAGACACCTGGAATGGGGGATAAGCCAAACCCGGCACATACCTACCCATGTTCAAGTTCAATTTTAAATTAGGTACAGTAAGAGGTTTACGATAACCACTGCCAGGCTTGGTCATGCCCACCTGTAATCCCAGCTGCTTGGGAGGCTGAGGCAGGAGGATGGCAAGTTCAAAGCCAGCCTCAGCAACCTAGTGAGGCCCTGAGCAACTCAGCAAGCTCCTGTCTTAAAATAAATATAAGAAAGGGCTGGGGATGTGGCTCTGTGGTTAAGCCCCCCGGGTTCAATCCCCATCACCAAATAAAAAAATAAATAAATAACTTCTAATGAAATAGGACAATTATAATGTAGTATAATAAAAGGTGTTTAAAACTTAACAAATTGTTCATTACTGGAATTTTCCATTTAACATTTTCGGATCATGGTTGATCACAGGTAGCCGGAAGCACGGCAGGCAACACTGGGTGAGGGGGGACTAGCGCCAGGGTCTGGCCATCGGGCTGATGTCTGGGTGTGGGACAGAATTGGGGACTACAGCCGGGCAGTATGGCTGAAGCTGAACGTGAGGATCTGTGGGGGTCGGGGTGGAATGTCATTGACTGGGTTGAGGGTCACAGCATTTAAAATAAACTGGAGTCCCAGTGAGACCGCGGAGGCTGGCTCCTGAGGCCGGGATGCTGCAGAGCCGGGCCTTCCCTCTTGTTCCTGGAGGCCTCTTGTATAGAATGGAGGGTCCCGAGGGGAGGTGGTTCTCTGCAGCCTGAGTTGGAAAAGGGCCACCAGGGGCCAGGGCCAGGGCCCTCGTGAAGCGCCAGCCACAGGTGCCGCTGGAGGCGGGGTCGGCCGCTCACGCTCGTCTCCCCCGCTCAGCATGGCACCTTGGGCAGTGGCCGATCTTCAGACAAAGGACCGTCCTGGTCCAGCCGCTCCCTGGGTGCCCGCTGCCGGAACTCCATCGCCTCCTGCCCCGAGGAGCAGCCCCACGTGGGCAACTACCGCCTGCTGCGCACCATCGGGAAGGGCAACTTCGCCAAGGTCAAGCTGGCCCGGCACATCCTCACCGGGCGGGAGGTGAGTGGACACAGGTGGGCCGCACCAGAGCTTCCAGAGAGCTCAGGGTGGCCTCGCTTCGCCTTATGACCTCAGATTTTACCCAGGCAACCCCAGTGCCCAGAGAAACCAACTCAGGCCTCCCTGAAACTCAGGAAACGGGACGGCGGGCAGAGCCCTTCTCGTCCTGAGGATGCACATGGCCTCTGCGTGCTCCTGGGCCACCTCATGGCCTTAGTGGTGGCTTGGGCTCTTCCAAGTCTTCTGGAGATCTTGACAACACACGGACTTTATTCAAGTTTGGCCTCACTCTCCAGAGTCCTGCCCCCCAGAGTCCTGCCCCACCAGAGTCCCGTCCCCCATGCCCCCAGTGCGGAGTCCTACCTGCAAACATTATTGCAGAAAGAGCTGTGCAAACCTCCCGCTACACAGGAGAGCTGAGGCTCATGCTTAAAGGGAAAAAAGACCGTGGGTGGTTTCATGGTTTCCTCTGGGCTCTTTGCAACTATGGAATTGGTAGCTGAAGTCCTGTTGGGCATGGACTGTCCCTGCCCCTAGGCAGCCTATGGCATAGGCACAAAAGACTCCAGGCCCCGATGGTTTTATGGGCAAATTCTACCTAACATTCAGATGTCATGCCAGTTCTTCCAGAGACTGAACAAAGAGGCTCTGCTGCCCAACGGGTGTGTGGGGTGTGTGCATGGTGAGCCTGCGCGCGCACAGTGCTGGGGATGGAACCTAGCACTTCACGCTTGCTAGGCACGTGCTCTACCACTGAGCCACGTCCCCAACCCCCCCAACAGATTTGTATGTGCCAGCGTAGCCACAAGAGCCAAACCAGACCAGAACAGAATTATGGGCCAAGCTTACTGGTGAATGTAGGTACAAAAATCTTGTTTATTTTTTGAGACAGGGTCTCAGTGTGTTGGCCAAGCTGGCCTCAAACCAAAAACCTGAAACAAAATATTAGCAAATAGAACCATCGGCAGAAGAGTGGAACAAAGCGGTGCGATAACAAAGCTGGGTTTATCCCAGGAATGCAGAGTTCTTTTCCATTTGACAATTTATTCACGCACTTCGTCACATTCACAGATTAAAGGAGAGAAACCATATGATCTTCTCAATACTGGCATGAAAAGTGTTTGACAAAATTTTTAAAAATCTATTCGTGAGAATATGAGGAAAGCTAAGGGACCCTCTCCCCCACACAGAACATGTAGTTCACCATATGTGGATCCTGCACGTGGTTCCAGAGGTTTCTGAGAGGACTGGATTATAAGGGAACGAGGCTCCCAGGGAAAGAGCTCTGTAATCTAGTTTATCTGGGGGTGGCCCGGAACCCTGTGGGAGAACTACGGACCTGGGGCTAGAGGAAGACTGGGGGGTACTGGGGATTGAACTCGGGGTTTCTCTACCACTCAGTGACCTGCCAGCCCTTGTTGTTTATTATTTTTTTAAAAAAATTTAGAATTTAATCTTTATTTCATTTATTTGTTTTTATGTGGTGCTGAGGATCGAACCCAGTGCCTCACTGTGCTAGGCAAGTGTTGACCTCTGAGCTACCTACGTCCCAGCCCCCGTTGTTTTAAATTTTGAAACAGACTGTTGCTAAGTGGCTGAGGCTGGCCTTGAACTTGGGATCCTCCTGCTTCAGCCTCCCAAATTGCTGGGATTTACAGGCTTGTGCCCCCTTGCCTGGCTTAAATTAGGATTTTTTTTTTAAGCCACTCATTGGAAAAGTGCATAGGGTTCTATCCCAATGTGTGATTTAAAATAGAAACTAAATTGTAAAATAAGTAAAGTTCAATAATATTCGAATTCTTTTCCCCATTGAGGACTGCCTCAAAGACCTTTTTTTTAAAAAAAAAAATCTTTAAAGGTTTTAAGAGGTTTTTTTTTTTTTTTTTTTATCAAAGAGTTTAAAAGACTGTATTAAGCTGCATAACCTTGACCAAGTGACATGCCTCGGTTTCCCATTTGTGGGATTTTGTTTTTGTTGGTACCTGGGACTGAACCCAAGAGCACTATACCCCTGAACTACAACCCCAGCCTCTATTTTTTAAAAAAATTGAGTCAGGCTGTTGCTAAGTTGCTGAGGCTGGCCTCAATCTTGTTGTCCTTCTGCCTCAGCCTCCTGAGCTGCTAGGATTACAGGCATTCGCCTCTGCACTCAGCTCGGATTCCCATTTGTGAATGGGGGTGGTCCTGGCACTCCTGTGGGGTCGCTGTGAGGGTGAAGAGGTCCCATTTGTGCATCACACAGACCAGGGCCTGGTGTCCAGTGTGTGGGAGTAAAGTGAGCTAGTTGTTATTTACCATTTCATCTTTGAACAAAGGTGTGACGGGCCAGGTGTGGTGGCACACATCTGTGATCCCAGCAAGGAGGCTGAGGCGGAAGGACTACAAGTTCAAGTTTGAGGCCAGTCTCAGCATCTTAGCAAGATGCTGTCTCAAAAAATTAAAAGGGCTGGGATGTGGCTCAGTGGTAGACCACTCCAGGTACCTCAAAAAAAAAAAATGGGGGATACTTACCTGCAGAAGTAAGTGTGGCACTGGAGACGGGGACTGTATGTGTGTGCCTCTGGCCAGGGTCCTCATCCTCTAGAAATGGCCTGGATAGAGGGCTTCTCTGAGAAGAGGCATCCAGGGTGATCAGAGTTAGGGACCTCCCCATGTCAAGGGCCGGTGGAATCCTGATCTGTCCTCTTCCTCTCCCTCTAGGTTGCCATCAAGATTATTGACAAGACCCAGCTCAACCCCAGCAGTCTGCAGAAGGTGAGGCTCAGGGAAGGGGAGCAGGGCCGGAGCTAGTTTCCAGGGACAGCCCCCAAACCCTCCCCCCTCACTCTTCTCTGTCTTCCTTTCTGGCCTCCACAGCTGTTCCGAGAAGTCCGCATCATGAAGGGCCTCAACCACCCCAACATCGGTGAGGAGGGGAAGGGGTGGGCTCCGAGGCAGGCCACCGACTGGAGCGCGTGGGAAAGGAGAGAACTGGGGGGAGAGGGGCCAGGGTTACAGCAGTTAGACCTGTTCCTCACAGTGGTGTCAGTGCTGTGTGACTTCAGCCTCTGAGCCTGTTGCCTCCTCTAGAGTGAGGGGGATAAAAAGACCTATGTCAAGGTCATTGTGAGGAGTGGATACGCTCATGCATCCAGAACGCTTCATTCAGGGCTGAGCTTTGGGATCTGATCTGTTTTCATCGGGAGCATCGTTGTCATTACATTATTAGGCAGGGAGGGGACAGAGGGGCCTTATTGAGAGCCGCAGGGTCTGGCCTTGCAGCATCTGTTGATCCATCTTTTACTCCATAAATACTGGGTGGCTGCTGTGTGCCAGTGCCAGGGAGCAGTAAAGAAAGCGGACTAAGCCCTGGCCTCTCCCAGCTGGTGTGTGTGTGTGTGTGTGTGTGTGTGTGTGTGTGTGTGAGAGAGAGAGAGAGAGAGAGGGGGGGGGGGGGGACGGAGTGGGGCTGACCAGTTTGGAAAACCTTCCGCCAGCAGGGAGCCATTGAGGGTTCTGGAGTAGGGGGCTGTGTGGTTGGCACATCCGGGTCATTCGAGTTCTGGTGGCGGGTGGAGGGTGGAGGGGCGTCCCCTTCCCACCTAACCCTGTGCTCTCCTCTCCCCCACACGGCAGTGAAGCTCTTCGAGGTCATCGAGACGGAGAAGACACTGTACCTGGTGATGGAATACGCAAGTGCCGGTGAGGCCCGCCCCGCCCCGGCCCCCTGCCCCGCCCCGCGCGCTCCGCCTGCCCTGACCCTCTTGGCCTCTGCCCCGCAGGAGAAGTGTTTGACTACCTCGTGTCGCACGGCCGCATGAAGGAGAAGGAAGCTCGAGCCAAGTTCCGACAGGTCAGAGGTCAGGCTAGGACCTGGGGCCAGCTGTGGTCAGGGTTGCCCAGTGACTTGGGGATGCGGCTCAAGTGAGGGTGCAGAGCCGGGTCCCCAGATATACCGATGCCAGGTGTGAGGGTGTGTGGGTACCGGTCACAGGTGCTGGGCTGGGTGGGCAGGAGGGAGTGCTGGCCCCGGGCGCAGGCCCAGGTGCACAGGTGTGGGCCGTGGGCCGGCTGGGCGTGCCCAGCTGTGGGCGTGTGCATGCGCAGTGGAGTAGGCCGTGGGTTGGGGCGGCCAGGTGTGGGGTTGGTTTGCTGGTGTGCTGAGCTCTGGTGTGGGTGTGCAGGACGTGCGTGGCTGAGTGTGCCAGTGAGCGTGCAGGCATCAGCTAGGGACTGTCCAGCTGCCCTGGCGGCTGTCCTGGGTGTGAGGGGCCTAAGCCCTGGTGAGTGGGGACCGTGTCCATCTCCAGGTTCATAACCCTTTCACGGGAGCTCCCAGAAGTAAGTCGGGAGAGGGCTCCTCCTTGACGTCTTCAATCTGAGTCCCTGTGTGTGACAGTGTCTAGATGTCTGAGTGTGAAAATGTCACGCGTCCTAGTGCAAATGTCTTTCTTAATAGGTCCCACAACATCTCCCACTGTGACCGAAGTAGGCATAAGGCTCCAGGGGCTTGGCCTGCACCCAGGGGAGGCTAGAACCCGGGGCTTGGTGGTGATGGGCTTCACAGGCCCCTGAGGGAGGCTGACCACTTAGGGCCAAAAGTAACAAACCTTCTCCCTGCAGATTGTGTCGGCCGTGCACTACTGTCACCAGAAAAACATTGTACACAGGGACCTGAAGGTAAGCCCCCAGCCCACTGTGACCGCAGGGACCCTAGCCTGGCCACTCTCCCCCCCCCCAGCGTGTCCCCTGGTGCCTCCCTAGTGGAGCTGGGCACAAGCTTTTGAGGTCAAGCAAGGCTGGTGGAGGGGGTGGGAGTCATCCAGGGAGCAATAGAGTATCCTACTGTACAGGGACAGCAGGACACAGTAGTCTGTCCCTCTTAGAGCCTCAGGACTTGGGCCTCAGACTCGAGACCTTTTAGGAATCCTTGAGAAGAGGTTTTAGGTCCCCAGAGTCACACCCTGCGGGGTCTTAGAATCAGGGATCTTGGAACTTGAGAAGGGCCTTGGAGAGAGCAGCCATGGGGCCAGCGGTGGGCAGGACAGGGACGCACCCGGCCGGACCCCAGCTACCTGCTGAGCTGAGCCCGCAGACCCTTATGTGCCTCTGTCCCCGGGTGATCCACACCCCACTCAGAGGGACCATAGGGACTGGGCTTCTCAGCTGAGACTGGCAGGTCCCGGGCTGCAGTGGGCGCCTGAGTGTGTGCCAGGCCACAGGCCAGGGCCTGGGGAGCCTCTCTGTCAGCTCAGGGTTGAAGGACCGGTTTTGTTTTTTTTTTTTAAATCTTTGTCCTGGAGACCAGGCAAGAGGATCCCTTGAGCCCAGGAGTTTGAGGCCTGCCAGAGAAACACAGAGACCCCCATTTTAAAAAAAACTTCTGTGGACAGGTGCTCTTATAAAATCTGATAAAAATTAATTGCAGGAAAAATGAGATGAAAAAAGGATATACAAAGGGCAAACTTTGTTTTTAAAATTATTGTTAGAGCCAAACACATAAAATGCCACTTTCCCATTGCCATAGAAGGTTCTGGTGCTCTCTGTGTGCAAGGAGGCCTGGGCTGGGCTCTGCCCTGAGGGCTCTGGGGCTGCTGGGTGCTAACCTGGAGGCCGCACGCCCCCTGCTGGATGGTCCTGTGAGTGCACCAGGCGACCAGATGTGAGGGTGAGGTGGATTGTGGGGTTTCAAACGCCAGTGGGAAGTGCCACCCCAGAGCCAGGCTGAGCTGCTGCTGGGTTCTGGTTTGGGACGAACTGTGTGAGGTGCCTTTGTGCCCTAAGCCCTGCTGGGGCAGGAGGTGTGGGAGAGTGGTACAGAAGTTAGGAGGCACATGCTGGTGGCCTGAGCTGCTGAGGACCTCACACGGGACAGCCAGGTGTGGGTGATGTGGAAAGGCGGCAGAAGCAGCATCTGGTGCTCCTCCTCATGCTCAGGCCTGGTGGCCACCAGCCCCATGGGGCTCCAGCTGGCTTGCTGTGGGCACGAGGTGGCCTCCCCGAGCCTCAGTGTCCTTATCTGGGAAACGGCAGTCACAAGGCCACCTTCCTCAAGAAATAGACAAAGCCTGCGGGGCACAGTGGCCCATGCCTCTCATCTCGGTGGCTCACAGGGCTGAGGCAGGAGGATTGCAAGTTCAAGGCCAGCCTCAGCAACTTAGCCAGACCCTGTCTCAAAATAAAACCTTCAGTGGGGCTCAGTGGTAGAGCATCCCTGGGTTTTATCCCCACTCCAAAAGAAAACAGGAAAGAAAGAAAAGGATAAAACCTTCTACCAGCGGAAAGCAGTTGCGCTCCAGGTCAATATAAGCACCTCATGTTGACCCCACTCCACCGTCACCCTCCATTTACACACAGGGAAACTGAGGCATGGGATTGGGTCACCCACCCAGAGTCACACAGCAGGCGAGAGTGGAGCTGGGCTCTCTGCACCCTTACCCCACCTACTATGTACTGGGCCCGGCACATAGTAGGCACACATCTGATAGATAAAATTAGTCATATTTTATAATTTTGTGCCGTCTCTTATTCTCATATCTTTTCTGCTGGATAAACTGAGTCTCGGGGAGGGGCCGGGGGTTTCCCAGAGACCCCGGCTCTGCAGACCACATGGGGTGGTGGCACCCGCTCAGCTCTCATCGGTGCCAGTCTTGTTCTGGGCCTTTTATGTGGACTTGCTCATTTTGTCCTCAGACTGCATTGTGAGGTGGGGACTGATCCCCCGACTCCACCGAGGAGGAAACAGGCCCAGAGAGGTGAAGTCACTCCCCAAGGTCACACAGAGTAGGGAGCAGTGCGCGAGCAGCTCTCAGGACCACACTCTGGTGGCCTCCCCGCCGCGCCCCTGCCCCAGGCTGAGCCAGCCCTGACCTTCCTCCTCTGCTCCAGGCCGAGAACCTCTTGCTGGACGCCGAGGCCAACATCAAGATCGCCGACTTTGGCTTCAGCAACGAGTTCACACTGGGCTCGAAGCTGGACACCTTCTGCGGGAGCCCCCCGTACGCCGCCCCGGAGCTGTTCCAGGGCAAGAAGTACGACGGGCCGGAGGTGGACATCTGGAGCCTTGGCGTCATCCTGTACACGCTCGTCAGCGGCTCCCTGCCCTTTGACGGGCACAACCTCAAGGTGCTGGGCCCAGCTGGGTGTGGGGATCTCACCCCACCATCAGGCCCCACCCTGTCCCCTGCACTGCTCCTCTGCAGGGACCAGAGGGTGGGGCTGCCCGAGGTCATATGACCAGATGGAGCAGGGGACCCCGTCCCCACCGTCAGGCGGCCAGTCCACGAGGCCGGTGCCGTGTTGGGGCTCATGACAGGTTTGAATCCCTGGCTCAGCCCACTCATTCGCTCAGGAGATACTTGCCACCCACCTCTGACACGAGGGTCACTTTGAGGCTTTGCAAATACGTGACAAGTGGCAGCAGCCCCTGCCCGTGTGTGTTGCCGTTCCATGGGGGGATCTTGGAAGTGCTGTGCCAAGAGACAGAGCCAGCGTCGCGAGGCTAGAGCATGTGGCTTCATTTCTATGAAATGTCCACCCGGCGCAGGGGCCAGGTGGGCCAGGGGAGGTGACAGCCGGGGGTCAGGGCTTCTGAACGATGGAAAACGTGCTCACAGTGATTGTGGCTATGGTTGCGAAACTTAGCAAGTTACTGGAAGTCCTCGAGATGAACGCTCAGAACAAGAAATTTTCTGGAACTGATGTCCCAGCCGCGGAGCCAGGCAGGAAGCAGAATGAAGAGTTGAGGAGATGTGGTGGCAGGTGTTGGCCAGTGCTGGGGCAGACACTGGAAGCGGGCAGCCCGTATGGGCCCTGTCTTCCTCTGCGTGTTTTTTTTTTCCTTTGAACTTTCTGTTTTGAGATGTTGCCAGTCTCCAGAAATGTTGCAAGAATAGAACACAGAACACATGGTCCCCTGGGAGAGCCGAGGAGCTGGCCCCTGGCCACCCGGGCCGTATCTGTCTGTACAGGCACATGACGAGGTAGCTCTGGTCCTTGTTGATGGACTGTGGGACAGTTCCTTGCAGACACTGTGTCCCTTTGTTCCCAAAGGCTACAGTGGGTTATCTTCTGAGACCAGGCGCATTCTCCAGACAATGGTCACCTACAGGAAATACATCCGCGGCTCAGTCCTGGCCTCCACCCTGTGGTCCACACTCAGATTCCCCCCACCGACCCAGGAGCCTCCTCGCAGCTATTTTTCCTCCTTGCCGGGGACTCGCTCAGGCTCTGCAGATGTGCCCAGTCCCTGTGTCCCCCCATCTGAGCAGCTGCCAGCCTCTCTGTCCCCCTGGCATGGCATGGCATGGCAGACGGCTTGGCCACTTGTTTGCAGTTGGATTGCCTGGTGCTGCCTCTGGCTGGACCAAGGCCACACCTTTTGGGGAGGCATTCTGCAGCTGGGACTCTGTGTCGCTCAGGGTGGCCCGTGGGGCGTTTGAAATCGGGCAGTCAGGCAAGTCCTTGTTGAGGACAGGCGGTCAGAGGCGCCTGCGTGATGAGCAGGAAGGGCCCTCCTCATGGTGGCCTTGTGCAGGCCGCTGAGCCCTGTAAGCTCACTCTCCCGCTCTGTTGAGTGAGGACCATTAAGATATGCACCTGGAGCTCATATGGCGGCCCAGCTACTCAGGAGGCTGAGGCAGGCGGATCACACATTTGAAGCTGGCCTCAGCAATTTAGCGAGGCCCTGTGTCAAAATCAAATATAAAAAGGGCTGGGGAGCCGGGCAGGGTGGCGCACACCTGTACTCCCAGCAACTCCGGAGGCTGAGGCAGGAGGATGAAAGTTTAAAGCCAGTCTCAGAAGATTAGTGAGGTCCTGAGCAACTCAGCAAGACCCTGTCTCTAAATAAAACAAAAAGGGCTGGGACGTGGCTCAGTGGCCAAGCGCCCTGATATCAAATCCCTGCCACCAAGAAAAGACTCACCTGGAAGCGCCTGGACCCAGTCCTGCCGCGGGGTGATTTTTCTGAGTAGCGAGCAGAAAGCTAAGAGGCCTTTTGGAGGGGCCAGGCTAGCCTCTCATCTGCCCCAGGCCCTTGTCATCTCTCGCTCTCCGGGTCTTCCCACCAGCCAGCCAGCTCTGTCATTTCCCTTTTGAGTGACTTGGGACGAGTCTCTGAACCTGTTTCCCACCTGTAAGATGGGGACGGAAGAGTGACTGCTCGCAGCCAGCCTGAGCCTGGGCCTGGGAGCCCTCACCAGGACTTGGCATCTGGCCGAGGCGTCAGGCCTGGCGGCTGCTGCTCTGATCACATGACAGGCGTGTAGTTTAGGGCAACGCAGCACGGGCTCGGAGCCCCGCCTCCTGGCTCGGAATCAGGCCCTGCTGCTTTCTGCTGTTCAGCCTCCGACAAGGGCCCACCACTCCAGCCTCGGTGTCCTCATCTGGAAAATGGGTGCTGCCCCCACGATTCAGGCAGGAGGATCGCACATTGGAGGCCAGTGATGTCCTGGCGATGGTGTCTTGTGCCTTGAGTGCGTGGTGCTGGTAGCCAGCGGTCTCCGAGGTGGCTTTATATTAAGTGATCTCAACCCTTGGAGCCCACGTGGCCTGCAGCCCTGCGGTGCTTCCCAGGCGCCCCCTCTTTCAGCCCCGTTAGAACGGCCTGGAAGGTGGCTCCCCTCCCAGTCCCCGGGCTTGACCCCATGGCCTCTGGTTTGTCCCCCTGCTCTGTCTCCCTGGGAGGGGGTGCCTGGGCTTCCTGACCTTGGAGCCTTGCTGGGGACCCTGGGAAAGACCTCAGGCAGACAGACAAAAAGCAGGGCCGCGTGTGCTTCCGGAAGGTCCTCTGACTCCCAGCCCTGTGGGGGCAGGTGGGGAGGGCGTGCTGGGCCCCCCTCTTTGCCTGGCATTTAGTAGCATTGCCCTGGGGCAGCTACTGCTGAGGCTCTCACCGTGACCCCTGTTCAAACAAGAACAGAGTTTCTCCCTGAATGAAGAGTTCTGAGCCTTAAAATATCATTTTTTAAAATTGCTGCATCTCTGCAGTGTTCCCATTTTACAGATGAGAAACTGAGTCAGGGAGAGGGCTGGGGCTCGGGGCTGCCGTCACTTCTGTCCGAGGGTTGGGAGGGAGGTGGGTGTGTGGGCGAGAATTGGGCTGGGGACACGGCCACCCCCCCCAGTAACCCCGTCCCCACAGGAGCTGCGGGAGCGCGTCCTCAGAGGGAAGTACCGGGTCCCTTTCTACATGTCCACCGACTGTGAGAGCATCCTGCGGAGATTCTTGGTGCTGAACCCCGCCAAACGCTGCACTCTCGAGGTGAGCCCGGCCTTGCGCCTCCGGCCAGCTCCCCACACTCTGCCTGAGTGTCCCGCCTGAGGTGGACGGGGAGCCCAGGCACAGCCCATCCCCATGCAGCCTCGCCCACTCCCTGCCACACCAGTAATTAGCTAATGAGCTACTGGATGATTACAGGGAGCGGGGACCCAGCTGCCGCAGAGCAGGCGGGTGGCATCGGGAGGCGGGGGAGGGGCCGGCCCTCAGGATCCCTGGTGCTGGGTGTCGGCCCTGGGCAGGGTACGCGCCCCACCTGGGCCAGCTGAGGGGCAGCTGCGGATTCCTGGCTCTCCTGACACCTCTGGTCCCTGCAGCAAATCATGAAAGACAAGTGGATCAACATCGGCTACGAGGGCGAGGAGCTGAAGCCATACACGGAGCCTGAGGAGGACTTCGGGGACACCAAGCGAATAGGTGAGGGCCACCTCGTCCCTCTGGCTAGTGCCTGCAGAGGGGTGCCTCGTGGCCCAGCGCCAGCAAGTGTCCCCCTGCGCGCCTCTAGGGGAGGAATCCCAGGGCTGCCCATGGAGTCGCTCTGCATTTTAAACAGTGGATCCGCCCCAGCTGTGTGTAGTAGGTCCTGCTGGCTTTGACCTTGACTTTTTCCCCCTGGAAGAACCCGTTAGAAACCCCGTAGCTCTCTTTCTACAGCTGAGGAGGCTGCGGTGACCATGACAGCCTGCTGCATTCCTCAGGACTTGCTTGGTTGCGAGTAACAGAAACCCCAAGAGGCTGCCATTTATAGGGCAAAGTTTGCCAGTATCAGCAGTTTCACGTTCGAATACTGACAGTTCACTCATTCACATGACTACCAAGGCCAGGGTAGTCAGCTTTCAGGCACAGCTGGACCCAGGTGCTCCGAGACAGTTGTTGGGAGTCTTCTTCCTGGGAGCTTCTCCTCGTGGCTCACTATGGGAGGGGGCTGCCAAGAGCATGTGCTGGAAGCCTGATGCCCTCTCAGAAGGGAAGGCAATGGCAGATGGCCTTGGGGACAGGACACTTTGGCTGGCGTGACATATGGAGCAGTCAGGGGTCGGAGCCTGCCATGGTAGAAGGGAGATGGCTGCAGACAGACCACAGGGCGGCCGGGGAGCAGGTGGCGGGGTCCGGGAGGCTGACCGCGCTCTCATGCCCTCCGCAGAGGTGATGGTGGGCATGGGCTACACCCGGGAAGAGATCCGAGAGGCCTTGACCAGCCAGAAGTACAACGAAGTGACTGCCACCTACCTCCTGCTGGGCAGGAAGACTGAGGTCAGAGGACGCCAGGGGCCTCCGGGAGTGTGCCCTGCCCCCGGTGGAGGGATTTGGGGGGCACAGGGGACGGGCGGCCAAGACGTCTTGTCTGCCGACTTTTTGCAGGAGGGTGGGGACCGCGGCGCCCCAGGGCTGGCCCTGGCACGGGTACGGGCGCCCAGCGACACCACCAACGGGACAAGCGCCAGCAAAGGCACCAGCCACGGCAAAGGGCAGCGGAGCTCCTCCTCCACCTACCACCGCCAGCGCCGGCACAGCGACTTCTGTGAGTTCGCCCCGCCCCTTCAGGCAGGCTCCGCCCCCATCTCAGGGCCCTGGAATGGGCCACCAGGGGCTGCGTCTGAAGAGGCAGCGGGGGTCCATCTGGAAGAGCCCAGAGCTGAGCAGACTTGCTTCCTCTCCCATTTTCTGGGTTTTCGTTTGTCCCTTATCCCACCTTACCTTTTTTCCTGATCCGTGAGCCCACAGATTTCTGCTTTTCCTTTTGCTGTACGGAGGATTGAACCCAGGTGCTAGGCAAGCGCCCGGCCTCCGAGCTACATCCACGGCCTTTTTTTTTTCTTTCCCTTTAACTGAGAATTGAACCCAGAGGTGCTCTAGTATTGAGCCACATCCCCAGCCCATTTTAGCTTTTATTTTGAGACAGCGTCTCCCTAAGTTGCTTGGGGCCTTGATAACTTGCTGAGGCTGGCCTTGAACTTGCAATCCTTCTGTGTCAGCCTCCTGAGTAGCTGGGATTACAGGCATGTGCCACTATGCCCGGCTAGGAGGTTAATTAACATTTCACTTTTAGAGACCAGCCCAAAAGGTCCTTGAATCTCTTCAGCTACTCATCTGTGTTGCAGCACTGATATCAGAGTCTTTGGGGAATTAATTCACTGCAACTGGGGCACAGGACTCATTGTACAAAGTGACTGCTTAGAGACTGCCTTCTCACTTCTCCTCCACACTAAAATGGGAGGAGGCCATTTCAAGTGGAATGAGGTTGGGAAGATACCAGATTGTGCCCTACATTCTGCAGCCAACAAATATCTCATCTGCTGCAGAAAATAAATAGACCCCCACCACTGTCAAAAATTAGGCATGGAAACCAGGCATGGTGGCACATGCTGTAATCCCAGCTACTTGGAAGACTGAGGCAGGAGAATGAGGGGAAAAAGATTAGGCACGAAAACTTCCAGGAGGTCTGTTGCCTACATCTTCATCAAATTTAAATTCTCCACTGATTTCTAAGTAGTTTTATTGAGATAATTTACATCCTATACAATTCACCCATTTAAAATGACCAGCCCCCAGCATTACTATACTTCCAGAGTCCATCACCGTGCTGGCTGTGGGGACACTTTCATCACACCAAGAATCCCACCACCCACCCCCACCCCCACCCCGCCCTGCAGCCACTAGTCTGCTTAGTCTCTGGATTTGCCTGTTGTGGACATTTCTTTTAAGGGATTCCATACACCCATACACGTGTGGCTCCTTGTGGGAATACCTTGACTTATTTGGCCACCCCCTGGATGCGGGGCATTTAGGCTGCTCCCAATCTTTTGACATTAAAAAGAAAAAAGAAAAAGGCAAGGGGCGTGGCCGGGGGGCTCAGTGGTCAGGCCTTTCTTTGCCTGATACTTACGGGGGCGGGGGGCCGGCAAAGCCTGTTTGGACCTGAGGTCCTGTTGTGGTTCCTGGGTCCGCGCGGACGCATTGGTGGCTTTGACAATATTATCAGCGGGACCTGCTCCTTCCGCCCCAGGTGGCCCCTCCCCGGCACCCCTGCACCCCAAGCGCAGCCCAACCAGCACCGGGGAGGCGGAGCTCAAGGAGGAGCGGCTGCCAGGCCGGAAGGCGAGCTGCAGCGCGGCGGGGAGCGGGAGTCGGGGGCTGCCCCCGTCCAGCCCCATGGTCAGCAGCGCCCACAACCCCAACAAGGCGGAGATCCCCGAGCGGCGGAAGGACAGCACGAGCACCCCCGTGAGTGGGCGAGGGCGGGCCACCTGCGGTGCATTTCTCTGACCCAGGCGTCCTGCAGTTCCCAGGGCACTGTGTGGTATTTGGGAAGAGCCTGTTGTCACCAGGGAGAGCTGGTGAAGGGCACCGGGCGGGCCCTGCTGAGGCAGAGACCTGATCTCAGACCTTGACGTCCAAGGGGACAGTGGGATCCTTACACTCCGTGTCTTCATGGAGCTCACCGTCTCTTGGGGTTGGGGACATATTTGTCTGCAGTGGGCACCCAGGAGGCCCAGAGGCTGCCTGGCCTGGGGAGGGCATATTGTGAACTGACCAGATCAGAGGCTGAGTGGGGCGGCCAGCAGGGGGATGTTCTGAGCAAGCGACCCGGCCAGGACATGGGCTCACTGGGGACCGAGTGTGGCATGTCCCTGTACCTGTATGGCCTGTATGGCTCTCTCTCTGGAGAGCTGGTGAATGGCACCAGTGGGAACAGCCTGTGGACCTCTCTGCGTTTGGGGGCCTCTGAGCCCTCGCCTGCCTGCCCCCCTGGGTTCCCCCCAGGCCCTGACTCAGTCCTCCTGGGAGAGGGCAAGAGGCTCGTGGCAGGCAGCCCTTCACCGCTCCTCATCCCGCGTGTCCCCCACAGAACAACCTCCCTCCCAGCATGATGACCCGCAGGAACACCTACGTTTGCACAGAGCGCCCAGGGGCCGAGCGCCCGTCCCTGTTGCCAAATGGCAAAGAAAACAGGTATGGGGGCCCGGGGCAGGAGGGGCCGGCAGGGAGCAGGCCCCTGGATCTGAGATGATCCTGCCTGGACAGTGGGCGGGTCCACCCTGCCCTTGGTAGGACGTGCCCAGGTACCCTGTCCGTGTCCTCACCTAGTTAACCAGTCACCAGCCTTAGAACAGCAGGCTGCCTCGCTCTCGCCTACAAGCCCCGGCGGGAACCCAACCGGATTTTTTGAATGATCCATTTTTAGAACTTGAGAGAAGCCCCAGATCTTCACAGCTTCCACATCATCTGGCTGGGTGGCCCGGCTGGGTGGCCCAAGGCTGTGAGGTCTCTCTAGCTGGCAAGTGAGGGGACCAATTCCAGGGGGCTGGCGCATGGACAGGGAGTGAATTGGTGCCCATCCAGGAGTGCGGCACCTCCAGGATAGCCACACTCCCACCTGCAAGGGCCACTGGCCATGTGACTAGCCAACACGGAGGCCCAGCTCTGGGACGTGCCTGATAAATGCAGGCGGGTGTTACGGTGGCTGGGGGCGGGGTAATGCCGTGGGCGACAGTCGTGATTCTGGGACTACTCAGTTCTGTTTGAGGCTTGCCTCCGCACTTTGCTACTACAATTACTGTTGGACAAGTCTCTGAGCCTCTTTTCTACTCTGTAAAATGGGGCCAACACCAGCTACATCCAGCCCCCCTTAAGATTTCCAATGGTGAACAGGTGTTCCTGTACCTGGCACAGGGCTGATACACTAGGCCCTGGCTGAGCTATCTTGATGGTTTACTAAATAAAAGTAAGAATGGTGATCATTCATCAGGCAGCAGTCATGTGCAAAGTACCTTAGCTGACTTAATGCTTCTAATGATATTGCAAGTAGATCCTACCTAGTATTTCCATTTTGTAACTGGAAATGAAGCACAGAAAGGTTAAATAACTTGCCCAAGGCCCACTGTAGCTGATGAGTCAAGGAACAAGGGTTGCAGACTGACTCCAGAATCTGCATCGGCAGCTGTAGTAACACAGTCTTCCTGGTCAGTTAGATTATAGCCCAAGCTGCTGGAACAAAGAGACCTTTCCAAGGGATGGTGGCTTAAGAAAGATGGAATTTTGAAGGCTGGGGATGTAGCTCAGTGGTAGAGCATTTGCCTGACATATATGAGGCCCTGGGTTCCATCTCTGGCACCTCAGCCAGGGGGGTGGGGTGGTGGGGAGACAGCAGGGTTTCTCAGGGAGCCCAGGCTGATTCTGCAGCTCTTCATGCTGAGACTCCAATCTGGTCTGAAGCAGCTCTACCAACTGCCACTGTTTCCCAATCTGCAAGAAGTGAGAAAAAACTAGAGGGTATGCAGCACTCTTGAAAGGCATGGCCCCCCACCCGACACAGTGGAGCACACATGTAATCCCAGCTGCTGGGGAGGCAGAGGCAGGAGGATTGTGGGTTCAAAGCCAACCTCAGCAACTTAGTGAGGCTCCAAACAACTTAGCGAAACCCTCTCTAAATAAAATATATTTTAAAAAAATGTCTGGGGATGTGGCTCAGTGGTTAAGTACCCCTGGGTTCAATGCCTGGTACCAAGAAAAAGAAAAGAAAAAGGCAAGACCCAGAAATGGTACAAGGCATTTCTGCTTGTTTTCTATTGGCCAGAACCTAGTCACATGACTACCACCCATGTTGCAAGGGTTGCTGGGAAGTGTAGTCTCTGGGAGGCCATGAGCAGGGTTCATAGGAAGTAAAACAGGGATAATGGATTCTGGGAGAGAGGTAATGGCCTCTGCCACAGTCAGGCTTTCCTCTCTGAGATCTAGGCTGGTCCCTGGAAGATAGAAATTGGAATTCTATTTCAGCTGTCAGGATTGGGAGAGTCGGAAAGGACTGGAGAAAAACTGGGACAGAGGGACCCCTACTTCCTTCATAATATCTTGAAAAAGTAAGGGGGGTCCCCTTTGTATTTTCACCCATCAGCAAGTTGTCATGATTGAGCTGGGTGCAGTGGCTCATGTGTAGTCCCAGTCACTCCAGATGCAGAGATGGCAGGATCACTTGAGCCCAGGAGTCTAAGGACAGCCTAAGCAGCATAGCAAGACCCCCATCTTAAAAAAAAAAGAAGAGGAGGAGGAGGTTGCTGTCATAATGAATCTGGGTTTTTGATATTCACATCTGCTCCTTATCCGAGCAGCCTTTGCCAAGTTCATTTGGTTCCTGAAGTGTGGATAGCACACAGCAAAGGAATCATCCACAAGTATATGTAAAATCTATTTGGTTGCCGAGTCTGGAGAGAGGAAAGTTGGAGCACTGGACAGATTGGAGGAGGTAAAGTTTAAAGAAGGAACAGATTGAAAAAGAGCTAATTTCCTTCTAAAAGTCCATAAAATAATGTTGTGGGTCTGTAGTCTGCAGCCTGCACAACCACACATAGCAGCCCCGTAGCTCCAGGGTTTATGGGCTCAGGGCAGGACAGTGAAGAATCTGGGGGATTGGGGCCCAGGTTTGCCTCGGAGTCCCACCCTGACCTGTCATTCTCTCCACAGCTCGGGCACCCCACGGGTACCCCCCGCCTCCCCCTCCAGTCACAGCCTGGCTCCCCCATCTGGGGAGCGGAGCCGCCTAGCACGCGGCTCCACCATCCGCAGCACCTTCCACGGTGGTCAGGTCCGGGATCGGCGGGCAGGGGGCGGGGGCAGCGGGGGCGTGCAGAACGGGCCCCCAGCCTCGCCCACGCTGGCACACGAGGCTGCACCCCTGCCCGCCGGGCGGCCGCGCCCCACCACCAACCTCTTCACCAAGCTGACCTCCAAGCTGACCCGTCGGTGAGCACCGCCGGGCACCAGGTGGGGGTGGAACGGGCTGGCCTGTCTACTACTCTGTTCTGCCTCCTGCGCCCTGACCTCTCCTCCTTCTCCTTTTCCTTTTCTTCCTCCTCCTGCTCCCTTCCCCTGTCCCCTATCCCTGTCACCTCCTCCTCACACTGCAGGGTCACCCTCGATCCCTCTAAACGGCAGAATTCTAACCGCTGCGTTTCGGGCGCCTCTCTGCCCCAGGGATCCAAGATCAGTAAGTCCCGCCCACGCTCTCCCTGTCTGCATCTGGTGTGTGTGCGGGCCGCAGGGAGGGGCCGTGCATGTGAGTGGGGAACAGGGCCTGGATGTGGGTCTGCGTGTTCATTTACTCCTTTAATAAAGAGCGGTGGCCAGAAGCACGGCCCCTGGAGCCAGACTCTCGGGGTCCAGATATCAACTCTACCGAGTGACCTTGAGGAAGTCACTCAACCTCTCTGGACCTGGTTTTCCTCTTCTGTACAGTGGCAGTCACAATGACAGGTCATTCCTTCGAGGGTGGTTGTGAGGACTGAGGAGGTTTTCTTGGAAAGTGCTTTATGAATGCAGTATTTAGAAATAATTTGTTCACTACTTTTATTCATTACTGCTATTACTTGTGGGGCACCTACTTACTGTGTTCCTGGTGCCATTCTGGACCCAGGAGTGAACAAAATGTGAAAATGTCGTGCCCTAGAAGAGCCCACATTCTAGTAGGGGACCTGAAAATATCTAAATAAGTCACATATATGTAGAGAGAGAGGGTGGGGGGAAGAGTATCGGGTCTTGGCAGTACAAGTACTAAGAAGAAAAATAGAGCAGGGCGGTGGTCCAGGGTGTGGGGAGGGGAGGGACAGGCTCACTAAGGAGGTGTCTGCCATTTCAACAAAGCCGACTGTGTGTGAGTGTGTGCGTCTCTCTGTTGCCCCTTCTACATATAGGTATCTACCCACCCCCTCTTTCTCTGTCTTCCAAATTCTTCGGTGTCTTTTCTACCACTTGCACTAACCCTCTCAGGACGAACCCCCTTCTGGAGATGTAGGGGGTCAGTTCTAGCCAGCAGGGAGGGACTGGGCCAAGGCAGGGCCCGGGAGGCAGTGGGTGGGGGAGGAGGGCTCCCTATGTCCAGGTTAGACACCCTGTCCACCTCCTCCCCAGGGTCGCAGACGAACCTGAGAGAATCGGGGGACCTGAGGTCACAAGGTGAGTGCATGTGACTGCCCCTGACCACCTCACAGCCCCTCCCTCCCCCCTGGCCCTCAGATGGGACCTGAGGCCATTTTCCAAGCCCAGCCTTCTGAAATGCCCCATGACCCACCTCCTCTGCCAGTTGCCCTGGATTCCTGCCCTTTGCACCACAGCCCTGAGCACCATCTTGTCCTAGCTGCAGCCCAGCTGCTCTCCTGTCACCACCCCGCCTCCTTTCGCCTCTCATCCATGGTGGCAGAGTGGCTGCCCCACTGCTCTGAGCCACGCAGTGGCAGACAGTACCTGTGTGGGCCTAGGGGGCAAATATCTTAGATTTTAAGAGCCAGTCTCTGGCATGGGCTCTGCCATTCCACTGAGAAAACCATATTCCCTACATAAAAATGGGTGTGGCTGTGTCCCAATAAAACTTTATTTACAAAAGCAGGCAGCACAGTATTTGGCAGCCCTGCTTTAGTTTCACCCCTACCAATTTAGAGACCCCAGAGCCTTCCCCTGTTTCCAATAAAGTCCAGACTGACGCTCATTGGCTGGGGCTGAAAGGGTGGGCTACTCTGATTGGTCAGACCTGGCCGTATGCTCGTCATTGATCCAATCATAGTGGGCAGAGCAGTGGAAGTTCTGATTGGCCTTGCGTTTTGTAGAGGGACCGCCTTCACGTCGTAGGACATTTCTCATCCCTGACCTGCCCCATTTCCCCAGCATAATAAATACTAGTGATGGTCTCATCCCAGGTAAAAAGTCCCGAGAAATTTCCAAAGACCCCTTTGTGCCGAAGGTACTTCTAAGTGAGTCCCTGGTCTAGAGTGAAGAGCGCTGGGCCCCCGGGAGAAGGGATTGTCATTACCACAAGAGTATTAGGTAGGAGCCAAGCTCGCATGCTCCAACGAGACCCCAAAATGCAGTAATAAGTTTCTCATCCAAGCCGTGTGGCAGGGTCACTCTGCCCCATATGGTCATCCAGGTGGCTGGGTTCTTCTCCCCCATTCCTTAGTCATCTGTCCAGGCGAGGCTGGCTGGTGCTGCTGCCAGTCCCCGGGCATGGGGACGCTTATGAAGGACACCAAGTGGAGTGGCAGGCCTCACTTCTGCCCATGTCCCAGAATTTAGACCCGGTCCTGCCCGGCTGCAAAGGAGTCTGAGACATGTGATCTCCAGCCAGGCTGAGATATCCAGCTGAAATTGTCACTGCAGGTGCAAGGATGGTTTTGAGGGCACAGCTAGACGTGTGTCCCAAAGTGGAGAGAGTTGTCCCTTCAGTTCTCCACCCACCTTCCCTTGGTCTCCCGTCTGTGACCCCTGCTCTCTTCCCACCCCAGTTGCCATCTACCTTGGGATCAAACGGAAACCGCCCCCCGGCTGCTCCGATTCCCCTGGAGTGTGAAGCTGACCAGCTCGCGCCCTCCCGAGGCCCTGATGGCAGCTCTGCGCCAGGCCACAGCAGCCGCCCGCTGCCGCTGCCGCCAGCCACAGCCGTTCCTGCTGGCCTGTCTGCACGGGGGTGCGGGCGGGCCCGAGCCCCTGTCCCACTTTGAAGTGGAGGTCTGCCAGCTGCCCCGGCCGGGCCTGCGGGGCGTTCTCTTCCGCCGTGTGGCGGGCACCGCCCTGGCCTTCCGCACCCTCGTCACCCGCATCTCCAACGACCTCGAGCTCTGAGCCACCACAGCCCGGGTCCCTTCCTCTTCCTCTCTCGTTCCCTTCACTTCTGCAAGAGGAAAGGGGACAGGGAGAGGATTCTCCTTTTGTCATCACCTCGGGTTCCATGGATTTGGTTGGGGACACAAGTTATCCCCTCTGCTGTTCTCCGGGGCTGCTTGGCACTGGAGAAGGATGAGGGAACTGAGCCGGGGGAGCTGGCACCCTCCTGGAGGCTCCAGCCAGTCCTGCTCCCCCTCACCCTGCCGTGGGGGCACCTGAGGAGACTTTGGGGGCAGGGCAGGCGGGAAGGGACGCCTAGGAGAACATTCCTCCAGCAGCTCAAGAACTAGGCCTCGGGCAGGGCAGGGGAGCTGCTGAGCCCAAGACTGGAGAACTCGTGGGGGGCTGGGAATGGGGTCAGAGAGGCAGAGTCCTTCCCCTCCCCCACCCCTCATGCTCGAACCCCAATTCCTGCCCCAGGCTGGCGCGGGGCACTTTGTACAAATCCTTGTAAATACCCCACCCCCTTCCTCTGCAGAGGTCTCTCAAGCTGCCGCTGACACCTCCGGTTTTTAAGTTATTACCCCCCACCCTCCCACCAGCCCCTCACCTGCAGCCTGTTGCCCAATAAACTTAGGAGAGTCCCCCACACTGACCCAGGGCTTTTCCTTCCCTGCCCTCCCTGCAGGTGAGTGGAGAGGAGGTGTGTGACCCAGGGCCAGTGGCTTCTCTCTGAGCCTGTTTGGTCATCTGCAGAGCGGGGGTGGCGGGTGTGAGGGTGAAGGATTGTAGTGGGAAAGGGCAGGACAGAACTTGGCCCCATCCAGGTCCTCTCTTGGGGACCCCCATTTATCAACTCCCGCCAACTATATTACACTGGACTCAGCCTCTTCCTACTCCAGTAGTAAATTTATTCAATAAACAGTCATTGACCAGTGCCTACTCCGTGCCCGGCCACTGCTGGACCGGGAGACATGGGTGCCCTGTCTGTGGGTACAAACACTAGGGAAACTATTGTCTTGGGGAGCCTGGAGAGAGAGTGAGGAGGGTTGGAAAAGAAGCTCCAGAGGAGCTCATACTGGAGTTGGGCTTTGAAGGATGAATAGGAGTTGGTCAGGACTTGGTGATGCCCTGAGCAGAAGCCCAGGTGGAGGTGGGAGTACATGGTGTGACTCCGGAGAGCTGCAGGTAAGTTCAGCGCAGCTGCTGCTGGGCATGCGTGGGGAATGGAGAAATGCTGCATAGGAGGAATAGTCCGTCTCCACCGCTTAAGCATAAAGGTATTTATTTGCTAATCAATAGTCCAGGGGCTCTAACTTCAGGTATAGTTGGGTCCAGGTGTCAGGTCATCTCAGCTTTCATCAGTGTAAATTTAATTCTAATGGAGTCCAATAGAAAGTCCTTTCCTGATGGCAAGAGGTGACCCCAGCAGCCCCCAAGCATCTGTCCCTCCTCAATGCCAACTTTAAATAAAAGTCCTGAGAGACCTGATTGGCCAAGATAAGTCATGTGGTTATCCCTGAACCAATCACTGGCTTTAGAGTGGCTGTGGCCCCCTAGCTAGAGCTGAACTTGGGGTTCCTCAAGGAGAGGCTTCCTGAGCAGAAGAGAGGTGGGAGCTACACTCCTTCAGCCGGGGCCTCTGGGGCCCAGTGGGCACACTAGGCTTTCTTCCGAGGCACTGGGGAGAGTTTTGCACAGAGAAGTTTAATTGATCCCTGAAGGCCTCCTCTGTGCAGGGATGTCTCCATCCCTAGCCTTGTGGAGCTCACGTTCCATTGGTAGAGATAGGTATGTCTTCAGACTGACCATCCAGAGGGGCAGAGTTGAGTCCAGTAGGTGCCTGCCCCAATCTAGGAGGGCTTCTTGGAGGAGGAGGAGCTGGCTAACCACATGAGATGGCATGTGAATCAGGGTGTGTATGGTCACTGTGAACGATGATGAGAGTGGAGATGTCTGGAGGGCCTTGAAAATCATGGAGAGGGGCCTGGGGAGGGGCACTGGGTGCCACAGCGAGGTTATGAGCCAGGGAGAATAGAGAGGTTTGTGTTGGGATTTGGGGGAGGGGGAGAGATGACGGGCAGGGAGGAGAGCAGAGTGAGACAGAAGATGGGGAGAGGAAGAGTGGATTTAAGAGGCTTTTGAAGCAAAATGGGCAGGACTTGGTAACTACAGATGCCTGGACTTCGATGTGGCAGGCTCAGATTGTCAGGATGAAGCATAGTGGTCTCTGGCTTCTGGGGGTGGAGCTGTGACTAGTGATGGGATCTTCAGTTGGGGATAATACTCTGAAGGACATCCCTGCATCTGACAGGTTCTTCATGCCTTGGTCTTTGGGTGTCTTCTAACTTTCCTATTTCAGCCATCCTGAGAACTCGGGGGACAGCCCTGGGCCTCAGTTTCCCCTTTGTAAAGCAGAAGGCAGATTGATCTCTAAGAGCCCTTAACCTCTCTTTTTTATTTTATTTATTTTTTTTAGTTATCAATGGACCTTTATTTTATTTATGTATGCAGTGCTGAGAATCGAACCCAGTGCCTCACACATGCTAGGCAAGGGCTCTGCCACTGATCCACCACCCCCAGCCCCAACCTCCGGCTCTTAAAGTTTGAAAAAGTGCCTCTGCCAGGTTCCTAAGGGCTCGGCTTCATTTCCTTCTGAAACTTCTGTCTCTTTGGGGGCCCACCCCCAGTGTTCTGTGGAGGCCTTGGCCTGTTGGCTGACAGGCAGTTCGTGGCATGCCCCACAGAGCAGGTCCAGATACTAACTGGTTTCTGTTCACTCCTCTTCCTCCCCCAGTTACTTTGCCATATTCTGTTTAGCTCTTTCCTGGGACCAAGCTCTATAAAAGACCCATCCCTAAAGACCACATAGGAAGGTACCCTCCCAAGTCCTAATCAGGAGGAGCAATACATGGAGCTGGGAACTGCAGGGTACACACAGTGAAAATCAAGCAATAATGAGGGGAGAACTGAACGATGAGCCTTCAGCAGATCAGTTGCATTTCAGTGTGACCTTAAAGGATCACAAGTAAAAGGAGTGCTAAGAGATACCGGCGCCATGGAAGGTTCTTGAGCAAAGAAAGAGAAGCTCAAAAGACAGAGCGATGAAGTCAAACTGGACAGGAGGAGGCCGGTGAGGAGCACACAGAGGTAGATGTACTGGATGTATGTATGGGGTGGGGAGTGTCAAGCCAGAGGCCTATGGGCCAAATTCATCTCTCCCTCTCTGAACTCTGAGCATGATTAATTCACAGCCGAGACAGGGAAGTCCTCGGCGTTTGGCTAAGTGGCGGTGGGCCACTCTTCTGAGTCTCCGACTCCTCATAGAGGATTGCAAGTTTTTGTCTAGGTTCTGTACTCTAATTCCGCCTCATTTTAGAGATGGGATAAAGCAAGCCTAGCACGTGTCTAGAGAGGGCAAACTATTTCAAGAACCCAGTGGCCAATTACAAAACTGCTCCCTCCGCGTCCCTCAATACTGTGCCACACAAAGCTAAGGCCACCACTGTTTTTATTTCTTGCTTTGCGTGGAGAAGCAGGAGCTCCAGCAGTGCCGCGGGCGCCGCGTCGGCCGGAGCTCCTGGTGGTGGGCGGGGCCCTGGACACCCAGAGGTGAGGGAGGTTTTTCATTGGCCAGAGCCCAGAGGGTGGAGCCCATTGGCTGGAACTCGGGGTGGAATAGGAACTCCGAGTAGGGCGGAGAGAGCGTCCAGGTAACGGAACCATTGTGGGCGGGACTGTGGGGAGAGGGGCGGAGCAAGGGATGAAGGGTTGGGCCTCCAGTGCGCCGGGTCCTCCGGGAGCCCGGGCTCCAGCCTTTGGCGGCGGGCGGGCTGGGTGCCTACTTCTGGGCAGGGATCATGTCGTCGATGGACTGGCCCTTTTCCAGCTTCTTCTCCATTTCCACCATGAGCTTCACACCGTCCACCACCAGCTGCACTTGCTCTACCTCGGATGAGCCCAGCCGGTCGGCGTTGGATATGTCAAACACAGAGCCCACTGCAGCTGTGTCCACGCCACCTGTGGGAGCAGGGGCCAGAGGCGTGAGGAAGGAGCCGAGATGCAGAGCGGCCGGAGGCTGCCCCTGTGTCACTTGCAACAGGCGCGTGTATTGAATGCCTACCATGTGACCGATCACCTGCACACAGAGCCTCCTTAATGTCTGTTTACTTGGGGTCCATGTGTCCGGCTTTAGGTTCCTTACCCCTCAACCACCCAACATGAAAATAAGCCAAAGTGTGCAAGATCCCAGCAGATCCCTGCTGCCTGGGGGCTAATCCTGACCACCCACTTACCGTTGAGGAACGGATTCCCGGGTATGCAAAATGCATATTATATGGCCATGACCATGCTAACTCGTATTTCAGAGGAGGAACAGGCTCACAGCAGGAAGCCCTAACCGATCCCAGAGCTCGCGGGGATGCTCCACCTCCCCTTCCTCTACCTCAAAGGACCTGCCCCAGACACCGCGGGGTAGGGGATGCGGGGCTGTACCTGTGCCCCGCTTCTGCAGACGCAGGCGGGTGAGAATCTCCTCGAACTTGGCGTGCTTGCTCAGGTGTGGCAGCTTCACATGCACGCCTCCACGCAACCCAGTGCCCAGGTTGGATGGGCAGGTCAGCACGTAACCCAGGTGCTCGTTCCACATGAAGGGGTGGCCAGCCTTCTTAAAGATTTCCTCAATCTGAGGTGGAGGGAGAGGACCGGGGATCAATGTCCGCACGCACTCCCAGCTACACCAGGGTTCACAGGGCCGAGGCGCGGACCAGGATGGAGGCGGGCACCAAGGGGGCGGAGCTGGAGAACTGGGAGGAGACTCTGCCGGGTTTCGGGGCGGGTTCTTGGAAGCTGGCCTTGGACATAGGGGTGGAGCCTAGTTTAAGGGTGTGGCCTTGGCGGGGGCGGGGCTTCCGGATGCAGTGGGAGGTCAGTGCGAGGGGCACACACCCACCTTCTGCAGCCCCACGCAGAAGCGACGGAAAACTTCCTTCATGTTGCCCCCCTTCTCCATCGAGATGACCCGGAGGTGATCCTCCTCATTCACCCACACCAGGAAGCTCTTGTTGTCATTGTGCCTAGAGTGGGGTGCGGCAAGAGGCCAGGGAGTCAGCTCTGTGGGAACCCCATTCCCCCACTGTCGCCCGAGCACAACCCGGGCCCCTCCCGCTGAAGGAAGCAGGCCTGAAGGGTATGAGGTGAGTGACATTGTATTTCTCGCAGAAAATTAAACCCAAAGACTGCGCCCTCACAGGATATCCAAATCCTCAAATCTGGGATCAAGAACTTGTAGAGGGTTCAAAACCTCTGAACGTGGGGCTGGGGTGGTGGCTCAGTGGTAGAGCCCTGGCCTAGAGGCCTGGGCTCGATCTTCAGCACCACATAGAGATAAATAAATAAAGGTATTGTGTCCATCTACAACGAAAACTTTGAACATCATTAAAGACTCCTGGGGCTAGGGTGTAGCCCAGTGGTAAAGCACTTGCCGACTGTGTCCAAGGACCACAACACACACACACACACACACACACACACACACAATTCTTGGAATCTTAGAATCTTTAGCACATAGAAGCTTAGACTCAGAAACAACAAATCTTGGCAATCCTACATCTGGGATTTGAGCCCAAGGAATCTGACCAGTGCCTGGGTACACAAGCGCTTGGCACCTGCCATTAGGATTATCTTGGTTACTGTGACTACTAGTTATGCTTTCTATGAATCTTTGAATCCCTAAATTAGTTTCACATAAATCAGCTTTTTTAGATCTTGAAAGAATTCCAAAAGCCGAGAGTTACTGGGATCTCCATTTTATAGAAGGGGACACTATGGAGAAGGTAATTCATTTTTCCAAGTCACTTTTCTTTTTTCTTTCTTTTCTCTTCCTCTCCTCTCCTCTCCTCTTCTCTTCTCTTCTCTTCTCTCTCTCTCTCTCTCTCTCTCTC